AGCATGATGAGCGGCCAACAGTTTAATGGTGGCCTTTAAAATATCGTCGTTAGGTCTAGGCCACCCGAGGGTCATGTTTTTGGCAGCGGAATAACACAATTGACGAATAACCATTTTTGATGTGCAGAATATAACCAAGCTGGTCGTCGGACGATGAGGGCGGCTGCAGAGTAGAGGACGAGCTTCCGAAACATCGTGAGGATGGGGTGTTGAGCAGTGGCGCGATGAATCCCTTTCTCCGCTCGCGTCTTTATAAGATTCCTCTGGTCCCCAAATTGGGGAGGCTTAAAATCGCCGTGCGTCCTCGATCGCTGGACCAGGATCTTGGCGTCGAGTTTTCCTACCGCATCCCATTGCCAAGAGATGGTGCATGTGGCCTTCCGTCCCCGGAAATGAGCCGCTGCTCATGTGTCAGGCACAATGTTCGTGAGTCTGCTGTCTTCTGTCTAAGAGTCATCGCAGTCTTTTGGCAGCATGTGCAACAACGTCCGGAGAAGGGACTGATAAACGTTGAAGTCATGTTCATAAGGTTTCGGTATACCTGACGCGTCGCAGTCTACAAACTCTAGGCTATGAGTGCTCTCTGTAGCTACCTTCTAATGCAAAAGGTTCTCAACTAGGCTATACCATCGATCTATGTCCGCCTGCGAAAGCACCCGGTGATTCTCCCGCGTTTCAATAATCGATTCAAATAAGTGACATATTTCCTCCCATGCATCCGACATTCCTCGCGACGGCCATCATTTCAACGCTGCGCTCATTGGGAGTGAGGTAAGGTGGCGCTTCAGCGGAGATCCGTAGAGGCGAATTATACGGGCGTTATGGTCCATACTGTCCGAAACATGTCTGCTTGATTCATCTACAAATCAACGAGAAGCCCATGTTTTGACTCCTCGCAGGTGCAATTATCTTTCTCTCAAATTCAGATCTCCCTGCCGACACTGGTGAAATGAAATGAAAGGCGGGAAAACCACCCCTGGCGGACGTAGATCGATGTTGGTGCCCGAGTCTTCGCACACGCACATCATGATTCAATGGAACATGAGACTTCAGGGCCTCGATCCGTGTCTGGTCCTATAGATCCAACCGCTCTTTGCGTCGGTTTTGTGGATATCTTGCGCTTTGACACTAAGATCGATCTAACTCCACCGGGGCGAAACGCCGGGGATGGTTCTCCCGCCTTTTCATGATCAGTTGACAAATTATCTTCCATGCCTCCAACATCGTCACGGCTATCTTTCCACGCCAAGCCCATGACTCAAGGATCTGGGAAAGATGAGGATGATTCTGGATCTTGAAGACCCACGAGCTTCAGTCCTACCAAAATGTACGTGCCACCGGCAACACCGGGACATTTGCGGCCCATTTACAAGTAGGGGGAGCGAATGAATACATCCCACTTGCGCCGCTGTCCACGGACGTCCCGGATCGCTTCTGTACTTCGATCTCTTCGATGCTCATAATATGTAAATATACAAGCGGCTGAGGGACCGCTCCGCGGTCCTTCTTCCTCTTTCCGATTCCATTACAAATTTACAGTCCCGGCAGCATAGGAGATTGCAGGTGATGTTGACGTCGGAGTTTGGCGCAGGGCCGGGTATGATGGCCGAGGCATGTCACCTTGACTTAAATGTGAACTGTGGACTCACAGACAGTCAATGATAAACTGAGAACATATGTCATTGTTTGAATGTCAGGCAAGGTATTCAACGTCTGAATATACACCCAATTTTGAGTCCCTTGTCAAGCAAGTGTGGTACATATGTCACTTGAATTAGTAACAGGGTAGTTAAAATTTGAGCTAACTTCATCCTCAGGCTGTGGACTCGGAGGGAGTAGAATGCAAAGAATATCTGTACATACACCTAGCGGCTCGAGCCCGACTTGAACGGGCGTCTCCTGCAATACTTTGACTGAGTCAGTCGCACTAAATGCAGACGCGGACCGTCCATCACCGAGCCGATATTAGGGGAGCTCGGAGTAGCCACGCGCCGGACGCTTTTCATCACGTGCGCCTGGCAGTGTTCGACGCGGGGACGGCCCGGGTCGCTTCTGGACCTCGATTTCAGAAGATGTAAATATTCCTCATAGAACCTCACTCATTTTAGGACTCCTCGGCGCAATCCACCGAACACCTCGGTTTGCATAGCCTGGGATGACATTATGATGTCGCTCCCCAGTGGCAGGCCAAATGCGAATACGATACACCATGTGCCGTATCGTATTTAACCTCCGGGTATTTGTAGTGTACTATACTATTTCGACCAAAGGTTCAGTGACGGGTGACACCGACATTTTTTTGATGTGTGCAAAAATATCGAAACAAAATTTATCGGTCTTCTCGGCTAAATTTTTTCTAAAAATAGTGAACCTTTGGTCGAAATAGTACAGTAGTATATTTACATATTATAAGCGTCGAAGGGATCGAGGTCCAGAAGCGACCCAGGCCGTCCGTGGACAGCGGCGCAAGTGGGATGTATTCATTCCATCCCCCCACTTGTAAATGGGCCGCAAATGTCCCCGTGTTGCCGGTCGCACGTACATTCGGTAGGACCGAAGGTCGTGGGTCTTCAAGATCCAGAATCATCCGCATCTTTCCCGGATCCTTGGCTCATGAGTTGGGCGTGGAAAGATGGGCGTGGTTATGTTGGAGGCATGCGAGATAATTTGTCAACTGATCATGAAAAGGCGGGAGAACCACCCCCGGCGTTTCGCCCCGGTGGAGGTAGATCGATCTTAGTGTCAAAGCGCAAGATATCCACCCAACCGACGCAAAGAGCAGTTCGATCTATAGGACCAGACACGTATCGAGGCCCTGAAGTCCCATGTTCCGTTGAATCATGATGTGCGTGTGCGAAGACTTGGGTACCAACATCGATCTACCTCTGCCAGGGGTGGTTTTCCGACCTTTCATTTCATTTCACCAGTGTCGGCAGGGGATCTGAATTTGAGAGAAAGATAACTGCACCTGCGAGGAGGCGAAACATAGGCTTCTCTTTGATTTGTAGATGAATCAAGCAGACATGTTTCGGACAGTATGGACCTCAGGACTCGAGCGGCAACGTCTTCACGGGCCGATTCGTTCAAATGCACATAACGCACGTATAATTCGCCTCTACGGATCTCCGCTGAAGCGCCACCTTACCTCACTCCCAATGAGCGCAGCGCCGAAACGATGGCCGTCGCGAGAAATGTTGAATGCATGGGAGGAAATATGTCACCTAGAGTTTGCAGACTGCGACGCATCAGGTATACCGAGACCCTATGAACATGATTTCAACGTTTATCAGTCCCTTCTCCGGACAGCATTGAACATGCTGCCAAAGGAATGTGATGACTCTTGGACAGAAACCAACAGGCTCACGAAGATTGTGCCTGACACATGAGCAGCGGCTCATTTCCGGGGACGGAAGGCCACATGCAACATCTCTTGGCAATGGGATGCGGTAGGAAAACTCGACGCCAAGATCCTGGTCCAGCGATCGAGGACGCACGGCGATTTTAAGCCTCCCCAATTTGGGGACCAGAGGAATCTTATAAAGATGCAAGCGGAGCAGAGGATCCATTGCGCCACTTCTCAACGCCCCATCTTCACTATGTTTCAGAAGCTCGTCCTCTACTCTGCAGCCGCCCTCATCGTCGTTCACGCAGTCGTCATCCCGACCCCCGACAGCAATGCTGGTGAGGACCACCAGTGTCTTCGTGGACACTGCTGACCGTCCACGGCTCATAGCGGGTAGCTGCAACGACTGGTCACTGGTCCCCAACGAGGCGAATTTGGCGGCGGCTTGCAGAAATGCTGCCGGCACCGTCGTGGGTACAAACATCGCCATCGGACAGTGCGTCGGCAACAATAACGGCAACCTGGGCTGTCAGGCGGGGTGAGATGTCAAATCCCCCGTATGTCTCGAAATCTAATATCTCTTCTCATATCCAGGGGTGGCGCGGGAGCTAGCTGTGTCTTCTTTAACATTGTGCAAGGGAGTGGTGTCCTCGAGATTTCTGCGCATTGCACCACTCGGTCGGGCGGGAGTAACACCGTCACTAACTTCAACATCAGTAGGCTTTTGCACCTCTTCCCAATTTACGGTAGCTCACCCGATTGTAGACGACTGCTTGACCAACCAAAATGGTCAGCTGACCTGTTGAAGTGCTTTGCCTCTGTGATGTCCGTGAAATATCGAAATATCACCTGTAATAGTATCGCGCCCTAAGCAAAGGCATTGTTTTTGATGATACAGACTCGGACTGTGACACCTGGATCGTCAACGTTACGAGTCCCTATGTACTAAGGGATCGTCTATTTCAGAAAACTCATATGGGGATTTTGGCGACCTCTGCATTTTAGGGAGGTTAAATATTGGAATGCCAGAGGCTGAGAGAGAGCGGATTTCAGCGCGCTGAGAGCGAAAACGAGATGAGAAAAAAATTGGGAGAAACACAACGCTCACTTTCGAAGCTGGCATTCCCCGAGCATTTCCGTATGCATTTAACAACCCTCCACGGCGTTTTTGTGTGGTGCAAACGAGTAATCCGTGGGGAGTAGAAACTCGATTGTGAACACTGGGAGAAAAGAAGATTCCAATGAGGCAGGAAACAAAAAAACAGTCGCAGAGAGCTTGCCATGGCTCGAGCCTGAACCGAACGGGAGTCTCCGGCATACTTTGAATTCCTGGAAATACTAAATATATGATGCAGGTGTCATCGAGCCGATGCTCAGCTGGCCTCCCCCCTCTTCTTTCACGACTATCGCATGCATATTGTTCCAGCACGTCCGTCTGCATTTCAAATTGAATTTAAGAACCACGCACGGCGTTTTTAGCCCAGCCTCTCGGCAGCAGACGAGTAATCTGGGCTGGGGGCGTAAAAACTAGGGGAGAACCCATGTGAACACTGGGGCAATGAGATGCGATGATGGCGGCAAAAAGAGAGGAAATGCAATGCGTTGGAGCATAAGAAGATGCCAAGGCCAACAAAAAAAACGCCTGTCGCCTGATCAATGGCTCGAGCCCGAGTCGAACGAGCGTTCCCTGCAACATGCACCGTTTTCTTGCCAACGACATAATGCAGGTGCGGGCCGTCCGCCATCGAGCCGGTATTAGCCTAGTTTTGAAGCCGAATATATGTGCATGCTTTAGCAATAAATTAAATTGAGATTGGCCCTCCTCGCCTTCCGATTTATCTTCCTGAACTAAAGCTAAATTTCATCTTCCTGAACGAACTTCGACTTTCATCTTCTTGAATAAAGCCAAATTCTAGCGCGCCGAGACCGAAAATGAGACACGAAAAAAGCAGACGTCACAATACATGGCTCGAGCCCGAGTCGAACGGGCGTCCCCTGTGTAATATTATTGCTCCCGTTTACCGAATGGAGTTGCGGGCCGTCCGCCATCGAGCCGTTCATGTCCCATATTCAACACCCGAATATATGCCAAATTTCTGAGTCCCTGTCAAGCAAGTTTGATACATCTTGAATGAATCGCAGGGTATTCAATTCACGCTGACCTCATTCTATGGGGCAGGAGAATCCAATGTGTTCGAGGATGAGGAGATGCCACGGCCAAAACAAAACAAAAAACAAAAAAATCGTCGCTCATTCATGGCTCGAGTCCGAGTTGAACGGACATCTTCTGCATAGTCCTCTAATGCAGATGATTTGATGCAGGTGCGGACTGTCCGCCATCGAGCCGGTACTCAGTGGGTTTGAAACCTGAATGTGTGTCCAATTTTTGGGCAGGATCGAATTGCGGGTGAGGTTGCATGCACATTGACATCAACCTCCAAGCGTTGACGCAAGGCGCGCCACCCGCCCGACGGTTTATTGCTTGAATGCCAGAAGCGAAAATGAGATGCGAAAAAAGTGAGTTATACACAACACATGCCTCGAGCCCGAGTCGAACGGGCGTCTTCTACAGATAAGCTGCCATGCCTTCCCTGAAGACGACGTGGGTGCGGACCGTCCGCCATCGAGACGTTTATTCATTGAGGTTGGAGCTTGGATAGATGTCCGATTTTAACCTGGCTTGAAAGCGGGTGAGCCTCACCTGGCAAATTCAAGACCGCATCTGAAGAAAATATAGGGTGGGTAATAAATTAAGAACTCAAACGAGAATTTATGATTTAAATTTCATTGCTGCGGTGATCAGTGACCAAATTATCAAGTCTCACATAGGACGAGTAGGCGCCAGATGCGATGACTAAAAAGATGATGAGATCAGCATATGGCTCGAGCCCGAGTTGAACGAGCGTCCCCTGCAACATACACCATTTCCTTGCCAAGGACATAATGCAGGTGCGGGCCGTCCGCCATAGAGCCATTCCTACCTTGAATATATGTCAAATTGAGCTCCCGTTAAGCAATTGTCATGGCATGTATGTGACTTGAATTAATAGCAGGGCTGTCGAGCGAACTTCATCCTGTGGATGTGGAGGCGGGTAAAATGGAATGCGTAACCAAAAAAGTTCCATCGCTCATACATGGCTCGAGCCCGAGTCGAACGGACGTCTCCATTACAAGTACTCTATGCCAATCACTCATTAGATGCAAGTGCGAACTATCCGCCATCGACCCATTAATTAGCTACGATTTGAACTTGAATACATGGACGATTCTTCAGCCCCGGTTGACGGATATTGCGAGACTCACTGCCACGAGGAAGCGATAATTGACTCTGGAATTCGATATGTATGCGAAAAATAATTATTGTGGACGCAGAGCGTTGATAGCAAATACGAGTGACCAAAAAAAAGAGGATTCTTCTCGAATATGGGTCGAGTCCGAGTCGAACGGGCATTCTGTGACTTGATTATCTCGCAGATTTCAACATTTGATGCAGTTTCGGACCGTCTGCCATCGAGCCGGTCTCACTTTGGTTTTGAAGTTGACGACGACCCCCTTTCCGGGGATCAGGCACAAATGCGGCGGCGATCAATGGCGTACACGTGACTTTTCCTTTCCACCAGCGATGATATCCGGATTCCACCGCCCGCCAAAAGGCCCCCCAGCGCATCGAGTCCGCCTTTCCTCTAATCCCTCCAAAATATAATGCTCGTTACGACGATCCCTCGCATCATCTCGCCGGCCCGTTCATTGGCCGGCCTCGTCATCGTCATCGCCGCCCCCGTCCCTTCCGCAGCCCCGCCGGCGCCGCACCCAGGCCCGGGGACGTCAGCCTTTGACTCCGCTGAGCCATCTCCCCGCTCGCTGCCCTCGCCGTCCTCGCCGTCCCGCCACTCCTTGCTTCCCCCCTTCCTCCTCCAGCTCCTCCTCTCCTCGCTCGCCCACAGAATCCCCTTCCCCTCGTTCTTCCGCCTCTCCCACACCGCGCCGCCCCCTGAGCATCCTGAGACTGCGACCACGGCGCCAGGCTATGCGGGGCAGCTGTACGTCAAGGGCCCGAGCGATTTGGCGCTGCTGGCGTGGACGATTGTGCTGGTGTCACTATTCCGGCTATTGATCGGGGGCTATGCGACCTCGATGAGAGTCCGATAAAAGTAACTTATTTTCTAGCTTGCCAAGTTTACTTAGCCCTTCGGGTTATTGGGCCGAACTTTACTTAGCTTTTCTCACGCTTGCTTGACTTAACTTATTCAAACTTATTCAAACTCCGCCTGTACGGTCATCTAACCCCAGACAAAAAATGATTATTTTCAGCCCTGAGACTGGCTGCAGACTTCCAAGTATTTGTCAATTATTTCACTGCTGGTTCTCCCCCTACCGATCTGCTAGCCCTAATCCACACATTGAGGCACACCATCCTCCATCAGGTCAGAACTAGTCTCCCTTGACAGACTGCCTCGCTCGTTCCTCGTTCTCATTCTCGACATGGTTGCACTTCACACCTACTATCCTCCTTCACATGGCCACGTCAACACCTCATTTGATGGTTAGGTTCCCCTGTCCTTTGAATATCTTGTGCATCCTTTTCTTATCTTTGTACTATTAGATCGATACATCACTGGACTTTTGAAACTGTTCGTGTCCTGCAGTTAAGTTCTGACTCATTCACTTCATGTTGACTGCATTTCTTTGAAGGGTATAATGTCGGAAAATCCGAAATTGAGTGATAAGGGCCGATAAGGGCCGATATGGCCCGATAAGTCCGTCAGGCGAAAAGCGTCCTGATAATGGTCAAAAATTCATTATAACGGATTGTCAGGCTGACCAGCCTTATCGGCCCTTATAGAAGGTGATGTGCCTAATAACCGCTGGTCAGGAGAAGGTGCCAGGGAAGGCAAATAAAAGGAAAGACACTATTAGATTTCTCTAACAGTCGTTAGTAACTAAGACTAGTTATGTTATTATCAGTAAGTAATGAAGGCTTTCAGTAAGATAGTAAATTAATGTATGACGCTGGGATTGAACTCACGATCTTGGCAAGTCACCTAAAAAACAGGGTAAGCCCAACAAACCACTTCGGCAGAAGAACATCAAAAGTAATGCAAATGCGTTGACTACATATGGTCCTACTCCCGCCAGATCAGCCGTTGCTAAACAACATGAAGTCGGCGTGTCTCAACAAGCCATTCACATGAATTGAAGAAGGGCGACCGCCTCAGAAGTGTACTTATATTAGATGGTAATTAAATTCACTCCTCTGATACCTCGTCGGCGCCACCCTCCACCGAATTACTTCCACGTTCAAACTCCGCACCACCGCAACAATGAAAGCAGTAGTAGTAAGAGCACTCAAAAAGAAGACCAAGGTCGACAAGGAGAACTTGCTGAAGAGCTATGGGCTCCATGGCATTGAGGTGTGTTGTGTTCTCCGTTTTGCAATCTATGATTAACCCACGCTTTCGACTCCAGCATTTCTTGTGGGACTTTTGTTTCTCGGATCCGTACGCTGCATATTCATATGATACGCTCCACTCCGATGATCTGGGTAAATGGGGCGCTCATCTCTGGCCCCTCCTACTGGAAAAACTCGAGGAGCTTAAGGCGAAGGGCCCGTTCGCCGAAAAGTGAGTCCGATAGATGATCGTTTATTATTTGGGTCTGATTTTAGCTTCAAAAGTATGCGCCGGTTCCCCAGATGGCCGGACCTTACAGCCAAGGACAGTACCGAAGGCGCGACCAAAAAATTTCCATTTTCGGTCATTTTTGATCCCCGCGAAAGAATTGTCCATAGTTCGCTCAGTTTTGGGTCAATCAAGCTGAAACCTAGATAGATCTACTGTACTAATTCATCCGCCATTAGTGATAGAGCCAAACACGCAAAAAACATATTTTCTTTGATGGCCTGGCAACCACGACCCTCCCGCACATGAATTTCGTTTAGTGTGCCCAGATCAGCTCCAATGAGGCTGGATTTTTTGGAAGGGTGAATTATAGTGTATGGTCGGGTGTGATAGAGTCGGAAATGTCGATTTCCTTTCTTCTGGCTTCTAGTGGCCCACTCAGATACATCTCAAATAGGACACAATGAATCTATTGTATCATCAACATTTCTGACTCTATCACACCCGAGCTATACACTATTATTCACCCCTCCCAAAAATCCAGCATCATTGGAGCTGATCTGGGCACGCTAAACGAAATTCATGTGCAGGAGGGCCGTGGTTGCCAGGCCATCAAAGAAAATATGTTTTTGCGTGTTTGGCTCTATCACTAATTGCAGATGAATTAGTACAGTAGATCTATCTAGGTTTCAGCTTGATTGACCCAAAACTGAGCGAGCTATGGACAATTCTTTCGCGGGGATCAAAAATGACCGAAAATGGATTTTTTTTGGTTGCGCCTTCGGTACTGTCCTTGGCTGTAAACATTTTAACCAAGTTACGACTGTACATTTTACCGATGGCCAAAGTTTCTATGACATTCTCAAGGTCGGTTTTTGGCCCTGCGCTTTGATAGCAATTTATTCACCGAGACAGTGTGTTCTGCCTTGTATCGTGGAATTGTTCCCGCCCAATGAGCCACTCGTGCACTGCATCCGCGCGTACCAACGGTATCACATCATGATTAGTATGAGCTGCATGCCTGACACCCGATTGCAGCGGCTGGATGTTTTTGTCCAGGACTACGAACACTGGTGCTCGGTGAGTCGCTGGTGAGCGCCTCCCTGTAAGATATTGATGGTATATCCAGCAGG